CTTTGCCCAATGTCCGGCGACCTTGGGAATGACTGCCATATATCTATATGAACAAATTTAAATATACTTTGCTTTATTTTAATTTTTATTATTATAAGTACTTTGACACAAATTCAGCATATAATGGCACCACCACAATAATATTTTGTAGATTTGTGATATTCAACTAATATTCATTTCTTTCATTTATTATCATGATTATAATTAGGAATAATTTCTTAATTCATACAAGAAGAGTTTGCAATGTTTTAACAAAGTTTTATATATTTATATATAAAAAAGAAGTTGAAATAAAGTCATTCAGTTAATGAATCATGGAATAATTTGCTAAGTTTTTTGTAGGTAATGGTTAATTATAATATGTAAAAATATATAAATGCTTGAATTTTAAATTTTATATATTTATCTAAAACAGTTGCATAAGTAATATTATAAAGAACCGAAGTTGCACATAATATGACTCATGACAAGATCTGGCAGTGCATACTTCCTGTGTACTTGTTTTAAAATTCTTAAAATAAGTATATCAATTTTCAAGGCTTGGCAGCTGCTACTAGGTCAGAAAGTGGATATTTGATAAACATGTAATTTTCATACACATATTCACCACTGTGAAATAGAGGTACTATGTGGGATTTTTTGTCTGTGTTGAAATTTATTTTATGAAAACCATTATTTATAAAACTTGAATAATTAAGACCTCATGCAATGTATATATATTTTAATGTTCTATTGTTGACTCAATTATTTTAACCATTAATTATACCTGATTAATATGCTCTTTATGGACCCTGTAATTTGGAATTGATTTAATTTGATATTTATATTGTCATATATGTATTTTTCATATTAACAAATTAAAAATGTTTTTAACAAAAACACACATACAGTATATATTTATATAGTATATTTATGCAAAGATCTAATTACTGCTTAACAAAAGACTGTTTAGTTCCACATGTTCTTTTGATATGGTTAAATAATTTCATGATTTTTTTGTCATAAACTCATTTTCACACTTTTAACTTATTAAATAGTTCTTAATCCTTATTGATATTGAGCTTCAAGAGGAAATGTTTCTTGTATTCAAAAACATGACACAGTTTGCAAAGCTTATCTTCTCTAGGAATTTTAAAGTATCAATTCTTGGACTTTTCAATTTCCAGGTTGGGGTCACTTATATGGCTTGATGAAACCCTTTCTAATAATAACGTCATGGTACATTAAATAATTAAAAATCTTTTTTCTGGAGCAATCTTAGTTTCTTATTTTTGTATAAAAATAAATTACTTTTTCGATCAATTAAAATTTTATATTTATCATCTATTTCTCTCCTGATCAGAACCTTAAGTAGTCTTACTTCTTTCAAATTATTTCAATTTTCCTTATATGTAAGATATCACTACCAAGTAGTATATAAAACATATATATATAGGCATTGAAATTTGGTTATAAATACCAGAGGAATTTGTTTATAAAGAGATGGCGCCCGTACAAAATTATAAGAGCGTATTACGCCTGGTAATCTGGCGTAAACCAACTTTCAACATAAAATTAATGGTCAGTAAAGCAGGCGAGGCGTTTCAGGGAATGCACTCTTGTTTGATTCAGCCATGCTAGATCTATGTGATCTCCCTGGATTTGGAGATCGTGCAAAATTCTAAGTTGAAGACATATATCATTTGGCGTCCGTCGTCCGTCGTCGTCCGTCTTCGTCGTTAACTTTTTACATTTTGAACTTCTTCTAGAGAACCACTGAATGGAATGAAACCAAACTTGGTATGAATGTTCCTTATGAGGTGCTGACCAAGTGTTGTTACTTTGAAGCCTATCCATCATCCAAGATGGCTGCCAGCGAGGGGGACTTAGTTTAACATAGGACCCTATGGGAAATACATACAAATGTCTTCTTTTAGAGAACCACTGAATGGAATGAAACCAAACATGGCATGAATGTTCCTTATGAGGTGCTGATCAAGTGTTGTTACTTTGAAGCCGATCCATCATCCAAGATGGCCGCCAGCGGGGGACTTAGTTTAACATAGGACCCTATGGGAAATACATACAAATGTCTTCTTTTAGAGAACCACTGAATGGAATGAAACCAAACATGGCATGAATGTTTCTTATGAGGTGCTGACCGAGTGTTGTAAGCAGATCCATAATCCAAGATGGCCGCCAGCAGGGGACTTAGTTTAACATGGGACCCTATGAGAAATACATACAAATGTCTTCTTTTAGAGAACCACTGAATGGAATGAAAGCAAACATGGCATGAATGTTCCTTATGAGATGCTGACCGAGTGTTGTTACTTTGAAGCCGATCCATAATCCAAGATGGCCACCAGCGGGGGACTTAGTTTAACATGGGACCCTATGGGAAATACATACAAATGTCTTCTTTTAGAGAACCACTGAATGGAATTAAACCAAACATGACATGAATGTTCCTTATAAGGTGCTGACCAAGTGTTGTTACTTTGAAGCTGATCCATCATCCAAGATGGCCGCCAGTGGGGGACTTAGTTTAACATAGGACCCTATGGGAAATACATACAAATGTCTTCTTTTAGAGAACCACTGAATGGAATGAAACAAAACATGGCATGAATGTTCTTTATGAGGTGATGACCAAGTGTTGTTACTATGAAGCCGATCCATAATCTAAGATGGCCGCCAGCGGAGGACTTAGTTTAACATAGGACCCTATGAGAAATACATACAAATGTTTTCTTTTAGAGAACCATTGAATGGAATGAAACCAAACATGGCATGCATGTTCCTTTTGAGGTGCTGACCAAGTGTTGTTAATTTGAAGCTGATCCTTCATCCAAGATGGCCGCCAGATGGGGACAATGTTTAACAAAGGACCCTATGGACAATACATACAAATGTCTTCTTTTAGAGAACCACATACTGAATGGATTGAAACCAAACATGGCATGAATGTTCCTTATGAGGTGCTGACTAAGTTTTGTTACTTTGAAGCTGATCCTTCATCCATGATGGCCGCCAATGGGGGGACTTCCTTTAACATAAGACCCTATGGGAAATACATACAAATGCTTCTTCTAGAGGTGCACTGAATGGAATGAAACCAAAACATGGCATTAATGTTTCTTATGAGGTGCTGATGAAGTGTTGCTACTTTGTTGCCGATTTACTGTTCAAGATGGCCACCAAGATTTTTTATTAAATTACAGGACCAATATTAAACCAAATTTGGCCTCACTCATTATTAGGGTATCTGTTATGATTTTAATCTATTTTTACATGATTTCCAAAACCAAAGTAGAATCAGGTGAGCGACACAGGCTCTTGAGAGCCTCTAGTCTAATGTTCCTGTAAACCATTGAATAAAATTTGGTTCAAGATGTGTATTGAAATCAGAGTTGATTACCACACTTTTTTTAAATGATTTTATTACCATTCTTTCATTAGGTAAATAAGAATATTGATACATACAAGTATGATAGACAACTATCACGATTTTCAAACAATTACACTCAACGGTGTAAGTATATAAATATCACATAGCTGAGAGGGTGATAGAGCAGATTTTTACCCCGAAAAAAACATTGTTTACCGCGGCGAAGCCAAGGTTGACAATGCTTTTTAGAGGGGTACCAATGTGTTATTTGATTTATTATACTGAATGTCCCATTATTATTGTCTTTTACAGATGCATTTTATTTAAAAGTATTTTCTGTGACGTGACATACATAACAACGTTACAGGTATTAGAAAAATCAACAGAAGTGAAGCAAGATGTTTAATTTTTTTGTTTTGACAGTCAAATAATAAAATCTGAGCCAAAACTTAGAACTTAAGCATTGTCTTTAATTACTTAATCTAAATTCAACTCATTGTCCTTTAAATTATCGATTTTAGATTGGTCTGGACGAGAGGGTGACATTCAAAAAAATTGTCTCCTGCTCAGCCATGGGATAGAGTAAATTATCTATCTTGTATAAGCCAATCAAAATATGGCATTTTAACGTGAAGTATAATAATATTAATTGGAATCACATCCTCTCAAATGCAGACTTAATTGACCACAGTAAATAAATCATGACGGTTGATAATCATACTTGTATTCAGGTATCCCTAAATTGAGTCCCTTATAAATGACAGTGTCCAGAAATATCATTTCTGTATCCAAAATATTGTATTTGAACTTAAGCAAAGTGTGATGACCATTTGCTGTTTCGAAGAATTCTTTAAAAGTGTCTAGATGTAGTGGATTTGATCTTTCCAATCCAGTATAAAAAAAATTACGAAACATTATAGTAAAAGTGATTTAGTTTTAGCTGTAAAAGAAGATCATATGGGAAATTGCATTGTCAATATTTACAGAAGAGCAACCTTTAGGAATGTCTGATGTAATCACAACTTCTGATGGGATTGGGGGCCAATTGGTTAAGCATATTATCACATGATTTAGAAATGAAATAAAATTGACAGTGCAAGTCCAGTGTAAAACTTTTAAGGTTGATGTAAAAAAAAACTGTGGCAAATATGTCATGCATGTTCAAGACGAGAAGAAATTAACAATAATACAATAGGTAAAGGTCCTGTCATATAGGCTGTCGGGATGAAGGTCAGGGAAGTTTAGACAGCCACAGGAAAATGAAGGTATATATTGGATAGGGACAGAAATTAAACCTGGCAACAGGCCACCTATAGACCCCTCAAAAAGTTGTTGACAGGGTTCTTAACATGTAAAGAGGCATTGGATTTAACGTCCCAAATCTGACGTAATGTGACTGCCAACTTGTACATCTGGCACAGCCAAATGGACACCCCATTTTTGACGAGGGTTTTACTGCTAGGTGGATGAAGACCAATTGTGACCATATTTCTATTCCTCAGTCACCCATAGGTGACTTTAACAAGAGGAGAATGACTATATACCCTATCTAATCTATAGGCTAAGAAATAGTGTTGTCACCAATTTTAACCAAAGACAAGTGTGACAAATCAATTTTAATTAATTTTAGGAAAAGGAGTGTTTACCAGCAGAAATTTTAAGAAAGGAGATTTTCTCCTTGAATATGAAGGAGAGTTGCTTTCCAGCGAAGAAGGTGTCAGTAGGCTGGATGACCATGTGGCAAGTGGCATTGGTTGTTATGTGTTTTTTTTCAAAAATAAAGATGAAAAAAAATTGAGGTAAATGTGTAAATTTAAGGAAATGTCAATTGATGACTCATGATATGATTTTGATTTTAAGTAGAGAGTGATAATTTATAGAATTAAATTTTCTTATAAAAAATAAATCTAACTGGTTGTTCACAATGCAATAGGAAATATCTTTATTTTTATGTCTTGATATTGATTGATTGATTAATGTTTGCTTAACTTCAGTGGTACTCTGATATGATAAACTCCATATAAAATGATATCATTTTGTTGAGTCTGTGGCAGAAAGCTCGACATAGTGATAGTGATCTGGCAGCAGCTACGGCTGCGTTAACTAACTTCTTAAAAGCTTTACATTTTAGAAGGTTGAAGACCTGGATGCTTCCTACTTTGTATAGATGCCTTACATTATGAAGTTTCAGTCTGTCATATGGTCTTATTTTCTTTTACTGCAATAGGCATGATAGGTCAACTGTTTTTGGTGTATGGTAATATCTTAAGATGTACATCTGAGTCTGGCAGGTTTTATTTGACCTTGACCTCATTTTCACAGTTCATTGCTCAGTGTTAAGTTTTTATGTTTTGATCTGTTTTTTTTGTCTCGCCTTGACGGAGTCAAAAGGCGATACATAGGTATGCTGTTTGCGGCAGCGGCGGCGGCGGCAACAATGTATTAGCTTGTGATTAGGTCTAGTTCATGGTGAACCACTAGTGGTAGGTCAATGATATTTGGTATGCAGTTGTATTAGCATTGGCACATCTCATTACCATGGAGATTATTTTGCCCCGCCCTCTCAGTCAAGGTCTATTGACTTTGAAACTTTTCATAAATCAAATCAAATCAAATCAAATATTTTATTGTCGTATAAACTTTACAGTTTGTGACCAATATGTATTAACACAATAAACATATAATAAAACATATTTCATAATTTACATGTATTAGTTTGTGATTAGGTCAATTTATGGGGAACCACTAGTGGTAGGTCAATGATATTTGGTATGCAGTTGTATAAGCATTGGCATATCTCATTTCCATAGAGATTATTTGGCTCTGCCCCCTTAGTCATGGTCTATAGACTTTGAAAATTTTTCTAAGTTAACATGTATTAGTTTGTGATTAGGTCAGTTCAAGGGGAACCATTAGTGGTAGGCCAATGTTAATTGATGTTCAGTTGTATAAGCATTAGCACATCTCATTTCCATGGAGAATATTTGGCCCCACCCCCTCAGTTATGGTCTATTTACTTTGAAACTTTTGCTTAGTTTACATGTATTAGTTTTTGATTAGATCAGTTTAAGATGAACTGCTAATGTTAAGTCAATGATATTTGGTATGCAAATTTATTGGCATTTGCAAGTATCGTTTCCATGGAGATTACATAGCCCCACCCCTGATCATGGTTCATTGACTTTGAAACTTTTACATAGTTTACAAGTTAATGTTTGTGTTTAGCTTTGTTTAAAGGGAACGACTTATAAAAAGTCAATGGTATTTGGTATGCAGTTGTATTAGCATTGGCACATCTCATTCCATGGAGATTGTTTAGCCATATACCTTCAGTCATGGTTCATCGACTTTGAATATTTGCATAACTTACATGTTAAAGTATTGCTATTTTAATTTCAACATTTGCATTATCAAAATTACAAAAAGGCGAGACATATCTCTGTGATAACAGTTCATTTTAACTATCAGTAATAGGTCAAATATATTTGGTGTATGGAATGATTGTAAGGTGTATATGCCTGACTGGCATTGTCATCTGACCTTGACCTCATTTTCATTTTTCATTGGTCAATGTTAAGTTTTCCTGGTTAAGTAACAAGTTTGTTTCTAAGAAACTATATCAGTATATGCAAAAGGTCAACTGTATTTGGTGTATGGAATGACTGTAAGGTGTACATGTATTTCCGGTTTGGTTTATCTGACCTTGTTAAGTTTATGGGATACTTGTAGTAAGATTTAAATTTAGTACTATCAACATAAAATCAATGGCCAGTAAAGCAGGCGAGACTTAAATTTAATTTTAGTTTCTTGTGTATAATTTGGAGTTAAGTATGACGTCCATTATCACTGAACTAGTATGCATATTTGTTTAGGGGCAAGCTGAAGGACGCCTCCGGGTGCGGGAGTTTTTCGCTGCATTGAAGACCCATTGGTGGCCTTCGGCTGTTGTCTGCTCTATGGTCGGGTTGTTGTCTCTTTGACACATTCCCCATTTCCATTCTCAATTTTATTTCATTAAAAAAAGGACCCAAGGATCAGGAGGATTATATATATATATATACTGAACTTGAAGAAGATAATATGACAACTATAAATAGGTCTCTAGATAGTTGTCTCATTGACAATCATTCCACATCTCTATTATTTATGCATGTTTATATATAAGGATTGAATTGAAATATTTTAAACTTAAATTTTTTGAAAAATTATTGGACTGTCTTTTCAGATCAGCCAGGTTCAAGGGTAAGCTCTGTCCAAGTCTTTTAATGAAGGATGAACTCTTTAGAAATAATTTTTATGCCCTCATCATAGCATAGGGGGCATTCAGTTTTACCCTTGTCCATCTGTCTGTCCGTTCGTCTTCCGTCTATCAGTATGTACGTACCTAAATTGGTTTCTGTTCTCTATCTTTAGTTTGCCTAAACTAAATGTTATGAAACTTATACACAATGGTCATTACCACAAAACACAGATCAAGTTTGAATTTCAGAAGTGTCACTTCTACCATTCTAGAGTTATGCCCCTTTACAAATGGAAAAATTGCTGAATTTTTCATTTCCGTTCTCTAACTTTAGTTTGCCTCAAACAAATGTTATGAAACTTATATGCACTGCTTATTGTTACAAAACATAGATCAAGTTTGAATTTTGGTTGCCCCACTTTTACTGTTCTAGAGTTATGCCCCTTTATAAATGGAAAAATTGCTGAATTTTTCACTTTTGTTCTTTAACTTAAGTTTTCCTCAAGCAAATGTTATGAAACTTAAACACAATGCTTATTATACCACAAAACACAGATTAAGTACAAATGTAGTAAACTGTATGGGTAGTGTCACTTTTACTGTTCTTGAGTTATGTCCCTTTATAATCTTAAATGCAAGAGGGGGCATCATCTGTGTCCCATGAATACATTCCCCATTTGTTAAATTATTCATTAAGTGCTTCATGTTGATTATGTTGTATTCTGTTCTCTCTTTTAGCATTGATGGCACATATTCTAGGCTTAAAGCCAGATATGTAAATGATGGTATAGGTATTGAAAAAAATTCTGTTATGAAAAGAATTGATGTTGATGACAGCCCCCATTTGGCTTTATTTGCTGTTAGAGACATAAAAACAGGAGAGGAACTCCGTTATGATTATGGGGAAACATCTAAGTACCTGCCATGGAGGAAGAAGTCAAAAATCACCAATGTACGAGTATGTATTAATAGCATTGCATTTTACACAACTGTATTTTGGTTTAATATGACAGCTTCTATTTGTATTGTTAATTTGTTATTTCACATGTTTAAGGAATGACTGTAATATTTTGTCTGCCTATGAAGAAATAACATCAAAATTGTGGTGCACACTGAATAATCTGCGTAGCGGGTTATTCTAAAGTGTGCACCACATTTTTTATGTTATTTCGAATAGACAGAAAAAATATATTACAGTCATTCCTCATAATTTAATTCTAAATGCCATTTTAAGCCGGAGTAAATCATGAAAAAACGTTGATGAGGCCACAATTAAAAATATTTCAGTTTGCCCAAACCCGACCCATGATGACTGGGTGTGGGTAGGTAGGTAGGCAAATTCTTATTTTTTGTTTATTAGAATTTGCATGAAAATATTAAAACAGTATATCTTATTTTTCCGTCAAATCTTTGTAGAGACATTGTCAAATTCCTGTACAACCTCAATAGGTTCACTCATGTCAGGCTCGAAAGTTTGTATCCCACTCTTGTCGGATACAGTAACAACGACTTCATTGGTTTTCCGCATGTCCATCTCATCAGCAGAGATGCAACTAATTGTCGGACCTGTCGGCCCGAGGGGGCAGAAATTGAGCAGGTCAGGCAAATTGGGCTTTTGTGCAAGAACTAATGACCGGCAGGCAGTTCTCTTGATTTTAGTAAGATTTAGCATTTTTGGTGCTAACCTATTAGTGGGGAATTGAAATTTGCCTTGTTGAAAATTTATTAATTAAAGTTAGTAAGTATGTTTGCTGTAGATGTTAAACATCAATGCTTTGTAGGTCAACTTTCGCGGGAAACAATGGGGATACATGAGATTGGGGAGAGAAACGGCAGTTTTCATTCTTTCTGTAACTGTAACTGTATTGCGAATCTTCTTCCAATAAAGGAGCTCCTCAATTGATGAGTAATATTATCCACCAAAATAAAAGTTAATGTATCTGAACACTTAAAATGTGACATTTATTATATGAAAAGTAGTCTTCCATTAAAACAAAATTTTGTGTACCAACATAATGGTAAAAAAATTATAAATTTTCAAATGTTGCTTTTTGAAGTTTAAACATATTTATTCATGCAATTTACAAATATATCAAAATATACAAGGATAACAAAAAGTAAGATCTGGAAACAAGCTGCACACAGCTTATATCAATCTGATTGATTTTTGTAAGTACATGTATCCCTGTGATGAGAGTTGTAACTGGGAAGTTTAAAGAGGGAAATTTAAAACTGAATTGACTTTTCAGTCCTCACTTTCCTGAGAAAGTTGTAATCAATTAAAAATCTTAGAGCACTGTCAAAAAAAATGGAGAATGGCCCTAGCCTGATGTTCAGTGGTATACAATAAAAAAATTTAAAATATATTGTAGTAATTATTAAATAAAAGAACTCAATTGAATTTTAGATATTTTCTAAAAATAATCCACTAAAGCAGCTGTCACTGTAAAGACATCCTATCTCCGTTCTCTTACTGTATAAAAAGCTGATTTAAAAAAAAATGTAGGTCTGGCAAAAATTTGATGGGTCTGACAAAACTTGCTACCCTGTAGG